AAAAAAAAAAAAAAATCACACAAAATAACTAACCAATAGACAATTAATATTTCACTCCCCAAACTTAAACTAAATATTATCCCCAATGTGAAATTAAAGATAAAGATGCAAACTTCCCTGAATAAAAAATATTGGTTGTTTTCATTACTATCGGCGTCATGGTGATGCAATGGTAGATTAATGGATGCTTAATGTTGATTCTAGCTCATCGCCCAAGTTTGAGACTTAACCTATAAGAAAAACAAACTTATTAAGCAACTATCAATAAAATTATAAACTAATTATCTAAGCATAAGAGATAGAGAGATAGAAAGCTTGGGGAACTTCCCAAGAAGTATTTCGTTAATGTCATTAGCTTGATGATATCGGAATGCCTTAGGTGGGATCTTCAAGAGGCACTTCCTTCATATTTTGAAACTTTTTTCTTGGTTTTGGATTTTTCTTCAATACAGAATGGTCACAAGGATTAAGAAGCGGCTTCAACTTTGATATAACTTTCAAAATCTCCTTTGATTTAACAATGTTAGGAGGTTTCAAAGGTTTTTCTATGTAGTTTTTCTTTCCTTCTTGTGGGTAAGTTTCATGAGCTAAGAGAAAGTCTACCACTTCCCTACTCTCTGTGTAGCTTCCAGTAGCATATCACTTATTGAATAACTGGTTGCAATATATTGCTCCATAGGATCATAGAAAAAATCTCTTTTATAATTTCAACCCATTATTGCATCAATTGATTTTGACCATATGGCAAGTATTAACTTTTCTAGGGATTTATTGGTTTGATAGATGTTGAACATGACTTGCTCTTTATTAACCCGCGGTGTTAATTTTCCTCCTTGTATATCAATCAAAGCTCTCCCGGATGCCAAGAAAGGTCGACCAAGAATTAATTGTAATTCTTGATTTTCTTCCATGTCTAAAACCACAAAGTCAAACGGAAAGATGAACTTGTCTACCTTCACCAATACATCTTCAATGATGCCTCAAGGGTATGTGATGTATCTATCAGCTAGTTACAAAGTAATGATAGTTGGCTTCACTTTTTCAAGACCCAATTTATTGAATACTGAGAGGGACATCAAATTTATGCCAACTCTAAGGTCACACAATTCCATATCAAAAGTAGAAGCGCCAATTATACAAGGAATAATGAAGCTGCCTGGATCTTTCAATTTCTGAGGGAGCTTCTTTTAGAGAATTTCAATGCATTCCTATGTCAATTTAGTTGTCTCAATATCCTCCAGCTTCCTCTTCTTTGACACCACTTCTTTGAGGAACTTGGCATAATTCAGTATTTATGCCAATACATCTACAAAAGGAATGTTGATGTGAATTTTCTTAAAGACTTAAGAAAAATTTTGCAAACTGCTCATCGAACTTCTTCTTCAAGAATCTCTCTGTGGATATGATAACTGTGGATTCAAGATAAGTAGATTATCAAGGAATGAGATTGCCCTTACCTCAGTCTTCTACTCTTCAACAATATTTTCTTCCACATGTTTGGAATAAGCTATAGGAATCAAAGCTTCTTTAGGTTTCTTTCTCTAACTCTTTACCACTTCTCAGCATTAAGGCATTGCAGTGTTCCCATAGGTTTACCTCTGTATCACTAGAAAATTTTCCTTTATGCTGGGAGTTTATTGCAATTGCAAACTAACCAATTTGTACCTCGAGATTTTTTGCCGTGGCCTTCCATGTTGGTCATATGAGTCTTAATATTGTACAGTTCCCCAAGATGTCCTCTAGTGATAGCTTTCCTTTAGAAGTATGAACCCAGGTGGAGATTGTTGTACGTTCCTGGTATTACCATAAGACATATTCTCAAGGTTTCGCAACCATGGATGATAGTTGCTACCGAATAGTTTCATCTTCGGTTAAAGTTTCGGCCATTTACATACTGGACTTGCTCATTCTCTATCTCCATTTCTTGGATTAAAGTAGAAGCATGCATAATAGAATCTAATTTTTGCTAAGTCCCTTGTGAAGTTAATACAACGACTTGGTTTATGAGTGATGACATATGAGCTGCAAGCGCTGCAATATGATCGACCTCATAAAGGTCAGCAACTTTCTTTGCACTCGAATGTTCACATGACCATTGATAGTTGTTGGTGGCTATTTCATCCAATAGTAAATAAGCAACCTCTTCAGCCTTAGACTTCAAAGTACTACCTGGTGCAATATCAACTGATGTCCATGCGTAACATTCAACCCATTGTAGAAGATCTCTATTTGTATCCTATTTTGATGACCATGATGAGGGCATCTTCTCAGTAGATTTTTGAATCTTTCACAAGCCTTATAGAATGGTTCGAAGTTTGCTTGTCTGAACTGGCCAATCTCACTCTGCAATTGAGCTCCCAAGTTGTGATGGATGTATAATCCTTGAGAAGGAAAATAGACGGAGTTTGATGACGTCTTCAGTAGCACTGTTCATCTTCACGATATCACAATCTCCAGAAAGGAACCTATATGAACATTAGGATCATCATGTGAAGATCTCCCAAACTGATTTTGTTTCACAATGTGGATCGATCCTGGCTTCAATTCAAAATTATTTGAAGCGATGGTTGGGTGTGCGCTACCCGATTAGTTATCATGGACAACTGGTCTGAAGTAGTCTATAATGGCGCTNGCTTCAATTCAAAATTATTTGCAACTATTGTTGGATGTGCAATATTGGAGTAGTTGTCATTGACAACTGGTCTAACATAGTCTATAATAGTCCGCTGTTGATTGTTCAGATTTGCTACTTGTTCTGCTTGTTTTTCCATTAGTTCAAGTTTGTTTTTTCTGATACCCCTTAAAAATCACAAGGTAATAGTCCAATGTTCCTCAATCTTCGCATAAACCTGAAACAAATAACAAACAAACTATTTAACAATAAAGAATTCTAAATAAAACAAGAGCTAGATAGTAATAATATTGGTAAAAAATTAAATATATCAATCTTCGAGAACAGCGCCAAAAACTTGTTACGTATTTTTCTATACGTAAATATACCGTGATTGTATGGTTTTAAGTTTTCTAATATACAGGAATTGAATATCAATTTATACTAAGTATTATAATTATGTAGCTTCTATTTTATCTAGACAAACAAATTATAAAATCAATGTTTTAGCTAATTCTAAAATGATAATTTTGCGAATTCACTATTTCAATGCAATTTAGAAAAAATAATCAAGACGAGAAAGCATAGGGTTGTGATATAGAACAACATAGAGAAGAGAATAGAAAAAACTATTTTTGTAGATCTTCAATCTTCTTCACGATGTTGTTCTTGCTTTCTTCTTTGATTTCTTGCTTCTTATCAAGTTGAATTGTAGTTGAAAAATGGCCTAAAGACTGGTATTTATACCATCATCAAGTCTCAAGAGTAGTTGAAGTCGAATTGGGCCTTGAAAGAATCCCAAAATTCAAAACTTTTTTCCACCGCCGCCGCACCGTGACAATCTAGTGGTTGGCGACTTGGCGCTTCGGTGCCTATTCAGTGACACTGGGGCACCATTGTTCTGAACTTCTTTTCCGATGTAGGGTGTCGAGATGTCTCGACCATGACGCTGGGGCGTTGATTCACTAAAAATCTTCTGGCTTCAGTGGTGTTGAGGCATTATGTTACTGGCACTCAAGCGCTGGTCTTCTACCGTAGTTTTTACCGAGATATAGAGCATGGACATGACGACGCCAGGGTGGTGCCGGTTGCCACTGTTGGTTTTGACCTTTTCTTCTTCAACTTAGCTCATTTTTTCACCTCTTTTACAAACTTCCGCACCTTCTTACTGTCTTTTCATATTCTCATCCATTTTAGCTCATTAAACTCATTTTTTACTATCTACATGTCTTGTTCTTTCATAAAAACAGGACTATTACACAAATGTATATCACTTTAACTATTAGAATAGCTAATATTAGGTTTGGAAATCATACTTATTTCAGTTAATAACCCTTAAGCCATAAGGCTTCATTTATAGCCTTTGTAACTACAACATATTCAACCTCCCTAGTAGACAGTGTAACTATACGCTACAACTATTATTTCCAACTTCTAAAAGTACCACATAAAGTAAACATATAGGCTATGTTACATTCCTATTATTTCTATCA